ATAAAATTATTCGTTAATTGAGTTAAAAATATACTATTTATATTCTCTCACCTAATTATCGAATTTCGTCAAAATTGCCAGACGAAAAAAATTACTTTCGCCCCCTAACGGAATAGTTTTTAAAACCTTTTTCATTATAAAAATTTTTTCCGAAAATAAAATATTTTTGTCAAAAATAATTTTATTAACAAAAACAAGTTTTAATTTATTTTTGTTAACCTAAAAATTTCAAAAATAATTTTTGAAGTTCTTAATGAATATAAATAATTTTTTTTTTTCATAGAGGTTGATAACCACTTTCACCTCATTTACGTCTTGTTTATCTACTCTAAACATTTTAATTTATTCGCATAAAAGTTATAATTTTATTCGTCTTCCTTTAAATTTTATTTTATTTTTCACTAAAAGAAAAGCAGGAAGAAATTTTTAAATAATATTCCGTTTTAAGATATTTAATAATAATAATAATAAACCACATATGTATAGTTGAGCAATTACTCGCTAGATGTCGATACTTCAAACACGTTTATTAAACACTAAAAATACCGAATTCTATAAATAAAATTAAGTATTAACGAATTTTATTATTTTATTTATTTTAATATTAAATTATGAACTAGAAATATTAGAAAGATGTTTAGAGCGAGTCAAGAATAATAATGATTAGAATGAATATGCAAATTATCTTTAACAAATTTCCCGACAAAATCTATTTTTTTTTTTTTGGAAATAAACCTGCTATGTTATATGTTATTTGCAATAAAACATTTTTTATCTTGGGTCATTTTTTGGGTGTCACCATATTTATCATGTCGTTCTCTTGTTAAAGTCAAGCCCTGTTTGCTGCGTACATTCGGCTTCGGACACTGAATATGATGAAACTTAAGAAAAGCTTCGACACAGTTTAGCACCAGACCTTAACGAAAGTTGTTTACTTCGTTTTGTAAGTAGACAATTACCTGAACAGGTAGCAAACAATTTTCGAAAATTTTCTCACGCCACTTAATGTTATTTGATCCACAAGTAGAACTAAAAGGTACATTTTCTGTATAGCGGAAGCAACGAAATTCGTGTTGAAACGGACTATAATTACGGATTTTTATCTTTATATACTTGTAAAAGTATCTTAACTATGGAATTTTCATAGTTTTTTCCGCTCTAAAGTGTTTTTCCGTTTCCATCGTGAGTTGGTCCAGGTCTATAATGGGGTGAATAATTATCCCCGATATGTCCACACCCGAAAAATTTCTGGAGTTTCTTATCGGATTCGATCTCGGATCACCTAATGGTATAAGAAAAAAAATGGTTATGACAGCTAATGCAAATGTAAATTCTGTATCCACGAGAACGTACTGTACAGTACCCTTAGTTTTCCTTATTCTTAGTTGTACACGAAAATGCATCTTAGTACAAGTCGACCCCCTATAACACTGTTGATAATTCCGTTTTATATGAATTCCATGTTGTACGANGCTGGCTTTAAACACCTCGCTTTCCTGGCTAGTTCCTGCTTGATTTTTCATGAGATCACCATGTATCTTTTTAGCTTTCTCGCAAATAATTGCTTCTGATACACTGTCACCAGAACACTGTTTTTCAGTATTCCTAAGCAAAAGCAATTTCTCAACATGATCTAATGTCTTCAATCTGTTTAAAAATTGATTTAACCCCTTTCGCAACGTTAGCAGATTTAATAATGTCTTTATTTTTCACGATTGTCAATATTGTCATTCTCGGAATATGGTATGCAACAGTTAAATCTCGAACACGCATGCCACCTTCATATTTCTCAACAATCTCTTTTTTCAGTTCCATTGTGATTTTAGTCATTTTTTTATTTTTTTGTTGCCTTTTTGCAATTCATAATTAATAAAAATAATAACATTTTACTTACAAACTAAAATAAAAAGAAATTTAACAAAGTTATAAACTGTGGCACTGCGAACATTTAGTCTGGTCTAATACACCGATAGTGCTACTCATTCATAGATGGCGTGTATAATTGAATTAAGTCGTATACTGAGCAAAATTTGTTTCGTCCAAACAGGACATATTCCGAATTGGACATATTCTAAAGCAGATGAATACTGAGGTACCACTATATAGAAATCAGAAATGGAAATGAAAAGGAGCTTAAATAATATAAATCAAAATCAAAGCTGTACACTATGCCATCTGAGTAAAAAAATCAAAAGAACTGATGTGACCCCAGTGGTGCCCACAGACTATAAAAACTGAGGGGAACGAGCTATAAAAAAGGGCATTGTATATTATGAAAAAGCTTCAAACTCTATGATTCAACATTGGATCAGCACTCCCACAAGATGGCACTGGTTACACTCAGGGCTAAATTATTTTTGAAAACAAGGTTTGGTCAACTTATGATGAACAATAACTATATAAAAATATAGTTATTGTTCATCATAAGTTGACCAAACCTTGTTTTCAAAAATAATTTAGCCCTGAGTGTAACCAGTGCCATCTTGTGGGAGTGCTGATTGTCCCATGCAATTATTTTTATACAACTGCATGGGACAATGGGCAAATATTGTTCATTATGTTCTTTTATATCGACAGAATAGGCTAGAAGTCCTAAATTTTTTTTATGTTTGTAGATCATGGAATTTGGGGTCCCCTTGAGGATTATGAAAAGGGCAACCCATATAAAAAGGGGCATGTTCCACAAGTGTCCTTGTATGACCCTTTGCAAGATATAGCTCCCTAAAATCAGCCTATCTGGTATTTTGAACACCCTCAAAAATGGGGTAAAATTTAAAAGTGAAAAAATCCAGAACTATTTCTCAAAACAATGCTAAAAATCAAATGTTTTCTACTTTACTAGAAATGGCTAAAAGCTCATAAAACATGAAAAATGCCATTGCACTGACTACTGGGATGCAAGCAGAGTTACACTGCAAGCTCTATTAAGCCTATCATGTGTTAAACAAGCAGAGTTGAGGGGACTATATCTTGCAAAGGACTGCATGTATACCATTAGTTTCTTTGACATTTTTTACTTCTATGGGCATGATTTACAGCTCTGATAAGGTTCCAACTGCCTCATTCAGAGCTGCATTTGCACCTAAGCAAGCTTTTTATAAAAATCATTTCTGTTCCTTTCATTTGTACAAGTAATTTTTGAATAATTCAATATTAAATGCATTTTCAAATTATGCAAGTAATAAATGATATGTATTTCAATCAGTTTTATTGAATATTAAAAAAATACCATCTATCACACTCATTCACTAAATGACGAAAGAAAAATAAAAATACTTAACTTCACAACACACTGGACAAATGTAAAAAGTGAGACTCACAACAACCAATTAACCAGTATGAAAACGATTAACATTTGAGTGACAACGCCCTTCTGGGCTCTTCTTCAGGCTTCTTTTTAATTCAAAACAGACTCTGGCAGTTAACATTCGAATAAAAAGAAGCCCTAAGAAGAGCCCAGAAGGGGTTACAAAAACATTTGTCACTCAAATGTTAATCATTTTCATGCCAGTTAATTGGTTGTTGTAAGCCGCACTTTTTATAAAAATAATTACAAAGTTAAAACTTATGAGATATTTTTTCTAAGATTGTGTAATTTTCTTATTTTCAAATCTAATAAGTTACCTAAAACAAATAATATTACATTTTTTCCTACCTATAATGATTTTTGAGATGAACTGTTCTTTAATTAAATTGCAAGATGGCATAATTTATTACACTTATTTAGTTAGGAGAGATACATTTCTTTCCAATGAATACTATATTTATTGAAGATGATCTTCTAAATTTGAATGAATTATAATTCTCTCAAATCAGATTGAGTGGCTATTTATATATTTTTTAAAACTTTTTATAACTATCTATAGTTTACTCCACAGTAAATATAATAATAAATATTTTATTGCATATCTGACACTATACAATTTATAGAGACTTGAGTATTTATAATTTTAATAGTTGACAGTAAAAACATTATTTTCAAACAAATTGTAAGTAATGTTTATTCTTTTCTTAATCAAATAACACATCACTGAAATAAATATTCATTATATCAAAGATGAGTCAGTATTTAGCACTCCAATTATACTAACTTGAATAAATTCATAAATTAAACAAAGAATCAAATCATTGGTGTGAATGCAATACCTGATATGTGCAAAATTTTCATTTCCAGTTGTTGTTCATATCTGGTGTGTACTGTGCACGCATTGGTAATTCACACTACATTCTCCATAAATTTACTCTTCCAGGTTTGCATGAAATCAGAACCTGTTGTGTGTCAGGTGCTTACAATAAGAAAACAGTATTTTGTTCTTGTACACTTCACTTTTTGCCACATAGCAGGTATTGCATTTATACCAATAAAAAGTTCTGTCTTATTCAATAAAAAAATATTTTAGAGAACAAACTTCTCATCAGTTTTCAGATCTGAAAAGAGATTCCAATAACTCTTGAACCAAGAAATTCATTGTTAGAGAATTTAAATATTTTACAGATGAAAAACAATGGTAAAACATTAAGAACAATTTTTTCAGTAATAAATTGGATTTAAAAAAATTAAGCACTTATAAGCTCTTTTTAGCTTATTTATTAAGTTTATTATTTAGCTATTATTAAGAGTGCACCATGTTGCATCATAAATTAAGCTTATAAATTTATCAAGCAACTGGATACTCTTACATCAATACCATACGAGAAAATTATGTTTAATAACAATGCTTTATGGACTCGTAAATCAACTAAGGAAAAATATTTTAATTCGGAATCTGTGTAATCAGTTTCAAGCAGGATAACAGTTAAATGTATCTTTAGTGGCTACACGTGCGATAACCCAGAATAAGAGCCTTCCTGCAAATCAAAATGATCAGCACTTATTTAATAATTTATTTATATAAACGGTTCATTAATTTAAAGGCTTTAAATATTTATGTTTAAGCATTTTGGTCATAAACGTGTTTATGTATTTTGATTAAAGGGACGTTAACATTAGCTCAACCTACCAATGTTTTCACTATAATCATCTGTTTCCACATCTTCATCTATGTGTATTTCAACAAACAATTCTTTAGTTGTCTCTTCCGAAGACATTTTAAGTTAAAACCGAATCATAACTCCTTGGCTTCACATACCTCAACAGATCTGATGCCTTTAAAAAAATTCAATTAATTAATTTAAAAATAAATAAATAAATGTGAAACAAAACGAAATTAAATGCCATTTTAATTAAATTCGTGCGTAATAAAGATATAAATTTAATATATTTACGGAAATAAATAGCAAAATAATTTTAATATTTAAAATTAAAATATTGAATTAACGTGATATTTTCAAATATAGAAATAAAAAAGTAAAAATATTTCCTCGTTACATTATTAAATTATAAATAAATAAATATATTTATTTATTTTAAAAAGTGACGATATTGAAGCAACGCCGCTTGAGGGCAAGTATAAGTAGCGTGACGTCATGAAGCTGTTACTTATTCTCTAGGTGTAAGACCTTGACTTATTCTCACAAAACATGCCATCGAAGTTTTTAAAAGCTATTATTTCCAAACAATATGTATACATAAAATTGCTAATGTACTGTAAAATTATGGTACAGGAATCAAAAAGAGAAGATAAGTAATTGGTTTCCCCCGTCCTGTGGGGCAATAAGAGGGCTGTTTTTAGCAAGTCCCTTGTGGGTTTGGCCAAGCCCACAACGGGGTAGGGGCAACATATCCGAATGGACCATCTCCAGAAAAATTCCTGGGGGTTTTTCGACACGTCCGGCTTCGATCCCAGCTTCCCCAGAGCGGTAGGCTGCCACCTTGACCGCTCGACCATTATTGTACTCTTTTTGCGCAATCTTCCATTTTGATTATTTTCTTATTTCAAAATGCATCCATTATCGAATTCACTACATAAATTTGATAATTAACAGTGTGGAAAACTTGTGCGCTTGAAATTTTATTATCTAAACGAAAACATATGAGATGTAATAAATTGGGCCAAGTAAAAACTTGCGACAATTTAGTCGACAGTCAAATATTTTTATATTGGGAGTTTTTCTTTGGTAAAAATAAGCTTGGTGTTTCGAAGATTTTTACCTGTTTTATTGTTTTCTACATTTCGTTTTGAAGTTCGTTACCTCACCGATAACGAGAGAGAATTATGTTTAAAATTTGAGCTTTCTAGAACCAGTAGTTTTTTTTTTTTTTTTTTTTTTTTGATACGCTTCTTGTCTAGTCTTGTGTTCAATTATACAAGCGCTAAGATGGCTTTTCTTTTTTGCTAGACTTATTATATCATCAGTAAAAGGAGGACAAACTTTAGAAAAACTTTTTATTCCTTTGAAAATGGGTTTAGAACAATTATGCCCCTTTTCAACTGTGTGTTACAAATGGGTTATGAGAAATGCAGGAGTTGTGACATTAGGTAAAATATGGATGGTTACGGTTAACAGGTATAAGTGCAAACATAACGGTATGGTACATAGTGTTGGAAAAACACTCAAGTATGCATGGTGCAGTGCAGAGGCAAGACTATAAAGTTTGGGAAACACTCTACTGTCACGTGTTTCCTCTATTGTTAACTGGAAAATTATGATGTACAGTACAGGGGCAAGACTACTAAAATTGAGTGCATTGTGATGATGTCTCAATAAATAATAGCTCATATAGCTTTATATATAATATATATATATAGTTAGTTATATATAAATAAATTTATGGTCTCAATACCATATACTCGTATATGTTGAGATCATAAATATAAACTGTATTATATATCATATCAAGAATAAAGTTATATTGTATAATATAAAATCAATTAAATTTTTCATGACTTATCAACGGAACTCAAATATATTGAGCTCATTTTCTACAGAAGAAGCTAATTTACCTACCGCGCTTTTAATGTATAGATATACATAATTTGCAATGCCACGTTAATAAATTTTCTGTACTGTACATTCCATCAATTTTAATAGATCAACATATTTCACATACATAATAAAATATTTTATGAGTAAATGCAATAAGTAAAACGTGTCAACACGTTTGTTTATCTTACTAGCAGTGGCGTGTCGTGACATTTGATAGTAGGGAAGTTGTGTTTCTGTAAGAAGCCGACTTCCAGGGGCAATCGGTTAATTGCGCGTCAGTGATGGTCAAGGGTCCATTCATATCATTTGTTCGATAAGCCAATAAAAACCATAGACTTCTCTAAATGTATTTTTAATATCACAATTACATTCCGAATCGCTAGCCACGATATAAGGGCTAAAATTATAAATAAAATAATAAAAACTTACTAGGTGAAATAAAATGTGTGGTGGATATACAGTACATACCTGGTACAAAATATTCTTCAATTGTATAAATATATTTTTAAAGAAAATTATAATTAAATATAGCTTTGTAAAGAAACGTACATAAAAATAACATAAAATCTTCTTTACTTTTTAAATCTTTAAAACAATCTACTTATTCAAATAGCTCCCTACGAGTGACTAATGGATGGAATCAGAGACGGTCCTGGTAGGTGCATGCACGCGGGCTGCCAAATCCCGAGGGTGCAGATACCGGTCAATGTCAAATGCCTCTTTTGTCGCATCACTAGTATACCTCAAAGGACGCGGCAGAGTTGTTGTACATTTTAAACGTTTCTCACCATAGTTGTAAAAATCTAAATGTGTTAAACTTAATAGATTGTCCGTCGTTTGTTTTCTAACTAATTCGTTTTAGGACCAGGGTCCACGGAAATTTTCAAAATTTATAACTTTTCGGTCACTGTCATTGAACTGGAAAAATTTCTCTCTTTATTACATCTAATATTACCAAGAAATCAGTCCCCACTGTACTCGGCTAGAGATTGGTTCGGTTAAGCTTTTGTTTAAGTAAAATTTCGGCTCTTTCTTCAGGATTTTATTTATGTCCCCAATTCTCTAATCGTTTAATTATTTAACTACTTCTTAAATAGAAATAAGTCGAAACCGGTTACTTTGTATTCGAATATTTGTAGTCGCGGGAAAAAAGTGGAAAAACAAATTTTTATGACAACGGATACATAAATCGTAAATTTAAGGAATATAAATTCTAGAGTTTTTTCTGTACCTCGTGCATCTCTCTCATCCATTAAATTTAGTTGTAAATGACGCTGTCAAAGTAACAGTTAATTTTTTAACATTATACAAGAATTGTACACGTTTTTTTCTACATCCCCTTAGAGATGGGATATACGAAATCGTAATTCACTGGCTTAACATTGAAATCCGTGAGTAATATAAAATCGGAGAGCGGAATAAATATATCAAATATTTTAATGGATTTTTAAAACTCCTGTCAACTATACAGAAAACTATCATAAAAACATACCAGTAAATTCTTATCGGTTGGGTTAAGTTATAAATCTACTCGTGATTCGCGTAATCGGGCGAGGGCGGCCAAATATCTAGCAGGCAGGCTGCTAACAGCCCGGAACCGGTCCCGGATAGAATTGGATGCGGTATATGTGTAGCATCCACCCGAGGTCCTAGGCTTCCACCGGCTAAACCGGGTGAGGTTGGTGGTCTGTAAACCGCATGCGCGAATCTGGCTTTTTGGATGCTGACAATACAGCGCTTCCACT